GACTATTTAGTCAGAGGAACTAACCTCTTTTCCCTTAGATTGTCAAACTATAAAAATGGCAATACCCAACACAACAGTAGCCATCCTATGTGAATGAATCAAAATTATACTTATTTTTTTGTCAGATTAGCAAAAAAATATATTTTTTTGGTGTGCTGCAGCGTTTTAGTAATTAGTTTACATGTGCCCTGAAATGAAAAAGCTTGAAAATCTCTCCTCTAAGGGATTAACATTCAAATACATTAAATATAACAACCTGAGATTCTGCAAGAACATTGACTAGGTAACTTCAGAAGCCCCCATATATCTAACCACGTCATGACATCTGTATCCATTTGAGCAATACACACAACATTCAATAAAGCATGCTGCCAATTTTAGTAAAAAGTTTTGTCAGAACACAATTTACTAGAATTCAAAAGCAGAAGCAAAACTACCTTTTACTTTTTTAAAAAACCCACGCCAGTGTAATTTAATGAAACACTCAATTTAGAGTTCTGTATACAAGAATCAATTACCAAGAATTGTTTATAGTCTACTTTAGTAATTTCAAAGGAAAAAAATCCTCAGTCTCAGGAATTTCTCATAAAATTTCACTTAAAAAACAATCCATATGCACTTTCTACTAGGTCTTAGAACAATGAAAGAACAAAAACAGACAGATGGCTAGGGTTACACAATTACAACCAATGCAGTAGGCCTAACTAAAACGACTTTTTCATATAGATAATATATTAAAAATGTGACTACAGAAATATGTTGAAATAGAGCATTTTCAGCTTTCCTTTGTATGTGTATGTGTGTGTAAGAAACAGGATAAAAATCTTAATAAATAATTTCTAGAATATGTAAGCAGAGAACACATTCAAGCCAATCTCTTATAAAAACTATTCAGTCAGTGCTTCACAATGAGCTTTGATTATCAAAATGATAAGTCTCAGTATCTATAAGTACAAGCAAAAAAGAATACACAAGAGTGATTCCTGACATGGAGTCATGCTTAGGGTATAGCATGGTATCTAAACACATACACTTATAGGAAGCATTGTCTACAGCCATGGTAACTATGATATACATATCTTTTTTTTCTGTAGCTAGGTAGTGCTGTGTTTAATAACAGAAACTTCCTTTAAATACATTACTATAACCAGAGTGATATTTTGACATTATGCATCTTCTCAATCAACATAGGACCATTATGATGTGTAAGTGCATAAAATTTTAAGAACTTAAAAAGAAGACATATTCCAAAAGATCAGAAAGAAATCACTAGAACAGTAAAGAAAATCCTGCTCTATGAGTAAGGAGTAGTTCCAGCTAAGCCGTGCCTTTAATCATGTCCTTACCCTTAGAAGGAGTCTATAGAAAGAAAGCATGTGAATTGTCCTAGAAGATTGTTTTATTCTAAAAATGTTTCCCCTCAAATGTTTGTAACAAATAATTCAGATGCTCAGTTATGTCACAATTTTAGACACCAAAACCAAAAAATATACTAATACACTTGGTTTATTTTTTCAAAATTACTTAATATATATATATCCACTTAATATAATTTCAAGTAACAATTATCACAAAAGTTTAAAGATGGAGAAAAAAATATCAATCCTAATCCATAATTTTATTTATAAACATAATTTTTACAGCTAGAGTCATAATAGGCATAATATTTCATGTACAGCTCTCTCACACAACATGAATTTTCCACACTATAAATTAGTCTTCATATTACCATATAAAATAGTTTAACATTCTACTGAGTGCATTTGTATGTTTATGTATATTTGTATGCATCTGTATAATAAAATACTCAAATAATAATAAATAATATAGTAGAAAATATTATTTTTATTAGGGGAAGAATGGAGAAGAAGGAATGGGATGAGAGCAAGACTTTTTTAATACATTTTTATACATTTCACATTTTTAACTTACTATTTTTTTAAACTAAAATTTGATTTAAAAATCTAAGTGAGTCCTGGCTGGTGTGGCTCAGTGGACTGAGTGCCAGCCTGCGAACCAAAGAGTCACCGGTTCAATTCCCAGTCAGGGCACATGCCTGGGTTGTGGGCCAGGTCCCCAGTTGGGGGCATACAAGAGGCAACCACACATTTCTCCTTTTCTTTCTCCCCCCGCTTCCCCTCTCTAAGAGTAAACAAAGAAAATCTTTTTTAAAAAGTTAGTGAAATATGGTTATTGACTCTAAATAGATTTAAATGAGAAGAAACCACTCTGTTCAACTTCCACTGCCTAAAAGGATCACTTTAATAGTCCTTAATTATCTGTTTTTCTAGCATAGTAAGAAAATGATGTAGAAAAAAATGAACAAAATTCAGGAGCCAGAGACACTATCAGTGAATAGGAGGGTGGTCTGAGACAATTCAGAGAAACTGCTAAACACATCCCAACAGACAGTCCCTGAAAAGAACATCAGTGAATCACAGCAGTTTAAAAGCTTATTAATTTCAGCAAATACATGCTGAGTTGCAATTAGGTGCTGGGTGCAGAGAACATAAAAAGATGATTTTCAAAGAAAAAGAGAAGTTCCTATCAAGAAATTAGAGGCAAGCTACTTCATAATGATGTGTAAGTTTTAAGTTTTTGGAAGTTTAAGTTTAAGTTCATAAGCTTTAAGTTTTTGGAAATGAACAAGAAACCATTGGAATACAGATGTACAGAGTTAGGAAACCTTTGTGAGGGCAGAAAGGGAAAATGAGTAACTTTCGGGAACTGGGAGGGCTAAGAGACTAATCAATAAATAAGTTTACTGTTTTAGAGGATTTTGGTCTTGAATGTTACTACTCCAGAATAGAAATTAAAACTATCTGAAACACCTTATTCTTCAACAACAACTAATAAATGAGGCTTGATTATAATTAATATTTTAAACTAGTATAGGCTATCAGTTTAAATCTAACTGAGCTGATACTTAATCTATACATATTAATAAAGGCAGACCTACTAAACTGTTTCAAATATATGTAAGGAAAGAAAACCTTTCAGAGAAATTTGAAATAATGGTTCTATTATACACATTGAGTTAATAAAACAAATGATTTGCCCCAATTTTTCTAGAATCCTAACACCGATTTTTTTTTTTTTTGGACAAAATACAGTAACAAGTTCTTATGAGTTAAAATACAAATTATCTTAATCATGCAAAAGTTTAAAAGCACATACAGCAAAGAGAGCAGATCTGATCAACTCTTAGAAAAAAGTATTCAAACCTAATTTGTTAATCTGGGAAAAGGGACATATTTAATATGTCCCCAAGAAGGCAACCTATAAACGATATCTGTAAACTGTACTAAATACAGCATTAAAACCTTTTTCAAATATAAATAATACAGAGATTCAAAACACATGGGCAGCAAAGAAATGTGTAACATAAGAATTCTACCAGTTACTATAATGTTTTAATCACAACATCTACTATCAACAGAAAAACAGTAATGTTACTGTGACTATTAACACTAATTCTGAGGTGTTGTTCTGCCTTCACAGTATCACTATCACTCTTCCTGGATTCACATAATTGGTCCTTCTTTAAAGGCCCCTACCTGCTCATAATCCTCCTGTTAAACCCTTCAGCAGCCCTCAGACGGCCTGAGAGCAGTGACCTCACAGCCATCCATCATGGCACTTGACTTAGTTCCCTGAAGCAATATTCACTTGGTCCTAAAGTCAGATACAAAAATTCTATTGTCTCAATATAAATTGTTCATATCATTTAAGAAATAAAATAGAAATACATGTAAAGCCCCTATTAAAACTATGGACAGCCATCACTTGTGTACTACCAACTATCCTTTAGGTACACAGTCACATTGCCTCCTCAAACAACCTACCAGGCAGATGGTGCTACTCATGTTAGATATTAAAAGCGGAATGATGCAAAATCTCATCACCCCAGCCGCTAAATATTATAATCTGACTGTCTTTGATTACAAAACTGAGTTAAAACTAACCCTTCCAAGTATGCTATGTTATATCAAAAGCCAAAATATAACTCATTTACAGGGAATAGTTCTACACACCATAAAATCTGCAATATTTTAAAATGAAAGCTACAGAGTCTAAGGCTTGAAAAACTAAGGACCCTTAGGAATGAAACTGAAGAATATCAGTTTCACAACTATGACACCTCTAAAACGGTTTTGTCTAGAAATATTTCCCCGTATTCTCAGCATTGTTCTGAGTATACCCTAAATGCTCAATAAATACTTGTTTAATGAATAAAATACTGCATGTCAATCCCTCAAACATCTGATTACCTCAAAGGGATTATCCCATATATATTTTTATGAGGGGCGGGGTGAGGGGGAAGAACCTTTATGCCTCAGTGAAATTCTACCTTTATTTGCTTATTAATAAATTACAATGATACTGCATGTTATCAGCATTTTTTATCATACTCATGTACATTTTTTACTAGTTTAAATAGATTCATTCTATCTCATGGCTTAGAAATACAAACACTGAAAACGCAAGGCATTTTGTTGTTTGGTAAGCAGTATAAATGGGAAAGAAAACATTTATCTTTCACTGCTTTAGATACCAATTTTAAAATACATTCTGTGAACACAAGTAGGCGCTGCTACAAACACTGACCTTCAAAGCAAATGATTGCTTTACACTGTGTGCTGAAGCAGCTATTGCTAGTCGATTCAAGTGTTTTTTGAGCTACTTTTACAGAACACACTGTTGTGGGTAGGAAAACCAGTTTCTCCTTCCCAGATGATCTTTCATAAATATTATTCATGTACTACAAACAATAAATAAAATGTTTTAATGGCTCAAATTATTTTTTCAACTCCCAATCTACATGTTACAACAATTTCTACTGACAAAGCCATCTTTTTTCTTGTAAACCAGTAAAAAAACACAAAGAGGAATTGTTGGTAATGGAATTCAAAGTACAGGACACTTTATAATGGAAAAATAGGCTATTTAAGGAGTTATTAGACTACAGTTTCATTTCATAATAAAATTTATTTACATACCAGCACAGAATATCCCTGGAACTTCACTCCTGACTATTACAGTCCGTACTTTCTTATCAGATTTTAAAGCATCCACAGCTTTTGAGAGCTAAACAGAGATAGGGAGGGTAAGAAAAAAAAGGGGGGTAAATTTTTTAGATTGATGCCAACACTATAGCTTAATATTAGAAGCAAACAGTTTAATCTTTACTCACCATTTTTACAAGATTTTTATTGAATGAATTTTTGGCATAAGCTCTGTTTATTCCAAGCACCACAATTCCTAGTTAAAAAAAAAAAAAAAAAAGCACAAGCACTTGAGTTAGTGATTTTTCAGGATATAGTCTCCCACACACACAGCTGGTTAATTTGGGACTAGGAAATCTTCCGCCTCCTTGAGGTTCACTCCAAGAGCTTCTTTTCATGTTTTCAAGTATATTTTTAAAGAATGCGGTGTATGCAACATACTTATAAAATCAATCTTTTGCTTAACATTCACTGCTCTTCTTCAGACTTTAGAGAAGAACTTTAAAGCACCATGTCCCCTTCAATTTACCTCTTCTATGCACCACTGAGGTAATCGGCATATTTAAGGACACTTAACATCACCAACTCAGACTAACTAAAGGGAAGGCCACGCTTACTAGTGAAAATCCTCAGTTACGGCATGCTATTTAAAATGTGGTTTCATTACCTTCCCCCGCATATGGAAGTAGTAGCTAACAAATCCTTGTCACAAGCAAGTACTACAGGATCAGCTTTTTTGCTAGTGGTATATATACCAGGTATTAACATCTCAGTTACTCTTTTTGTCATACTAACTAGTTTTCAATATTTCCATCCCAAATTTCTCTCCCTTTGTTGCATGTACTTAAACTGAAGGCACTTCCATTTAAAAGTTCAACAAGCAATTCTACCTCAGGCTATAGGAAAAAAAAAAAAAAGTTCATTCTACCTCCCACAAAGCCCAGCTCTCCCTAACTTTCCTAATTTTACCACAGACCATCATCTATTAATAAATCCAGCCTCCCATTCCAATTGCTGCAGTCAGATCAATTTTCCAAAAACAATTCTATGCTTAGAATTCACCCCCTACTTAAGTATCTTTAATTACTTATTTCCAAAATACCTGAGTTCAAAGACCTTAATTTGATATTCAAAGCTACATACACTTGCACTCAACCTACCTGTCCCCTGAGTAAACACAAATTTCCATGTATAACAGAAATGCCTTCCACCCTGGTAGGGGTGGAGTGGGGATGGGTATGATCCTTATTTGTAATTGAGTTATGCTGAAGACAACAAAATGTACATATGCCTTCTCTATGCAAAAAAAACTGTGCAAACACATTTTTCAAAAAAAAGCACAAAGAGGCACTTAGTCTCACAGTAGAATATTTTGCAAGAATTCCAAATGGCCTCGGTATGGAAAGAATCATGAAGAACTGGTATCTAGGTTCTACACAGCTAAGTGACCATGGCTAGACCCCAATACTAATGATAACAGCACCACTAATTGAGCACTTCAGTATGTGCTCCCTGTGTATTACCTCCTGTAATCCCCACAACAACCCAACAGGTAGGTACAAAGTTTATCCTTACTGAGCAGAGAAAGAAAGTGGGAGCTGGAGAAGTTAAATAACTACCTTCTCCTAGTAAGGCAATCTAACTCTACACTTGAATGAATGAAAGGACTATGCTACACTGTTCAAGCTTCAGTTTCCTCATGAAGAAAACCAAGTGGATAACACTAGATGTGTTCAACATGTGTTCATTATTTCAAATGTATTAACTACACATTATGGTGCTCAGCCCTCAAGGAATTAAAGAGTCTAGGAAGAAAAGACAAACATTCATAAAATAATCATAAAAATGTGCAATTAAAAATGCTTTACATGCTCTACATGGTACTACACTAACTATAACCAGAACTGATATGGTCTAGGGGCAACAGGAAAGCTAATGCAAGACAATGCTATCTGAGATGAGATTAGAAAGATGAGTCAAGAGTTGGGAAGAGGGGAGGGGCGGGACTCCACACAGTGGCAACAGAGGAAACAGCATAAAACAGTCACAGCCCCATTACAGGTCCTGACACTCAAAAGAAGAAGAGAGGCCAATGAGAGGAGAGGTCACCACAGTCCAGATATTATCCTTTCAGCTCCTGTTAAAAAATAAAGAGTAACCACTGAAGGAGTTTTAGGTAGTATAAACACATATGCAACCAGGGGGAAAATACAGTTTTGATATTTGGAGGTCACACCAAAAGTGTATAGGGCTAGAAGCTCAAAGGCACAAGCTGTAATCCAGTCAAGAGATAAAAGGTGTGGCTGAGGTTAGCAGAATTAGAAATAGAAGGAAGTGAAGGGACCTAAGAAGTTATTCAAGAAATAAAATTTTAAACGTGTTAGTGATTGACTAGATTGAGGACTCACTGCATTGGAAGTCAGGAGCGTCACTACTTGTTTGGCTTCAGCAACTGGATGAAAGGAGATGACATTCAATGTGACAGAACAAAAAAAAAATGAGGATGGAAGGGGATAAAATTCATGAGTTTGGTTTTGAATTAAAGCAAATCTGAACTGCCTCTGAAACATCCAAGTTGATATCACCTCTAAGGTATAACAAAGTGAAGTGCTTGGCCTTTCTGACTCCATCTTGTTCAATCCTGCCTTGTTCTCATGGCCTTCAAGCTAGTAACACCTGTTTAGTCTTGCACACAGACATGCTAATCATTAGAGGGGTTCTGCTTGCGGCCTGAGTTTTTACAAAAACAGCCATTTTCCCTTCCCTTGACATAAAAGAAGCTTGAACTATGTATTTTCTTAAAATGGATTTGAGGATTAGAACGCCCATCTTTTCAACTGGAAACTTTTTGATCAATAAATCTTTCCTTACTCCAAACTCTGGCATTTTGAGTTTTGTCCTTTCAGAGCTTCACGCACACGAACTTCATACTACATGCTTCTAAGCTAAGGCTCTGAGGTCTGATTGCTGGGGTTGAGATCCCAGTCTGCCACCTACTAGCTATATGACCTTTCACTAGTTATTTAACCTTTTTGATCCTCAGTTTCTCTCAATGTTGAGTGAAGATACTTGTAATTCCAAACTCCACGGAGCTATTGTGAGAATCAAGTAAGATATATATATAGGGTGTGGCAAAAGTAGGTTTACAGTTATGAATACATAAAAGTTTCTTCTTGTATTATTTTCCAAATGAACTGTAAACCTACTTTTGCCCCACCCTGTACATATAAAGTTTACAAAGTAAGTATTCAAATATTTTTGTCCCTTCTAGCATGAAGGGACAATAAGTGTTACCCTAATGCATGCTAGGTACAATACTGATGACATCATTACTAATATGTAAAATGTCATCGAAATGTTTTTAACATAATTAATTGCAGCAGTTTTGGTCCCATGTTCAAGGCCGGATGTTTTGGGCACATCTACCTCAAAGAGTTGGAAATTAGCTCTGCAATTTGAAATGAATCACCTAGTTGGTCCGAAGGCTGTGGGTTATTGTTAAGCTGAAATGAATCACCTAGTCCCTAATAATTGTACCATCGAATGTATTAATGGCCTAGTGATAACCCAAAATGGAAAGAAAACTTAGCTTTATTCAGCAGAGCAATTGTTCTTTGTTTTGTAATTGTCCCATTTTGTTTCACAATTAATAGCTTCTCAAGAGATCAATTATCATGTGTCCTCTTCATATAAACTAGCAAAAACAGGTATATCAAAACTCAGAAAAGATGATACATTCATATTCTAATCTTAAATCCCTGTTTTAGACTTTTTCTGGCTTTTGACAAAACATCATAAAAGTCTTTGGTGAATATTACATCAATCCCACTCCATAAAGTTGACACAACTAAAAGATAAGCAGACAGACTTGGCTGTGATTTTTAAAATATATACATGAATACATTTGGCTTATACAAAATTAAAATACACACAAAATGAAAATCTCCTTCTCTGCACCCCTTCTATTACCCTCCCCAGAGGCAGCCACAGTAATCTGTTAATATGTAACCTCCCAGAAAATGGTATTTGCATACAGAAATAAAGGACTGTATACTACCGTTTGGACTGTCATTGCTGTTTTACACAGGTAGGGTATCAGAGTATTTTCTGTTAGTGCTGTTCTAATAACTAGTTTCATACATATTTCTTTTACTTTATTTGATCTTAAAAATCTTTCTCTATCAAGACATTCCTTTAATTCATAATATTCTGTAAAATGGATTCCCATTATTTAGTCTCCTTTTGATGAATACTTAAACTGTTCCTAAATTCTCCTAAAAACAATGCTGCAATAAAAACTTTCTTAAAAATTCTTGAAGTTTTTTCTGCACATGCACAAGTATAATATTTATCTGCTATGTATTAAGAACTGGAATTTCTAGATATGGGTATTCTTAATTTTGCCAGATACTCCCCAAATATATTGTCTCTATTTCTGTTCAACCAAACACCAATACCTATTTGTTCACAACAGCAGACCTCAATGGAACAAAACACCTCATAGAACACATTTGGAAAATGTAAAGGAACATCCTGGACTGTCACCAAGGTTGGATCCAGGATTTGCCGGCCCTGAAGCAAATTTAGGGAGCCTTCTGTATGTAAAAGAATGCAAAATTACAAAGATAAAATTAGGGACAAACATGAATATTAAAACCTTCTGAATTTTAAATATTTAGGAAATACTACATTTTCTCTACAGTTACGGGTATAACCAGCACAAGGACACGTCCTTCCCCACATATTTGAATTTATATTATCAATAATTCTGAAAAAAATACATGAAATTAACCTAGCATTAAGATCAACTCAAATATACTTTAAACTACTTCTACACTGTACTGAAACACAACTATACCAACAAATTATTCTTACATTACATGTATTTACTTATAAAGATGTACCAGAGCCCTGGCTGGTGTGGCTCAGTGGACTGAGTGCCAGCCTACAAATCAAAGGGTCAATGGTTTGATTCCTAGTCAGGGCCCATGCATGGATGGCGGGCCAGGTCCCTGGTAGGGGGCGCACAAGAGGCAACCACACGTTGATGTTTCTCTCTCTCTTTTTCCCTTCCCCTCTCTATAAAAATAAAAATAAATAAAATCTTTAAAAAAAAAAAAAAAGATGTATTGGAGTCAGGTCACTGGAAGTCAGCTTTTTCAGGCTATTTAGATGTATCTGTGGCAATTCTGTGTGCCACTTTGTATGGAACCACCAGAATTTGTTAGACAAGATGCATAAGATACATAGGACAGG